TTCCTGCATATTCCTATTTTTCCTTTCCACTACTCCATTCTGTTGAGGAGTTGCAATAGCTGAAAATTCTTTCTTGATACCCTTTACATCATAATAGCTTTAAAACTCTCTCATTGTAAATTCAGAGCCAAAATCAGACCTTAGTCTCTTTATAGTACAACCTCTTTCATTTTCAACCAGATTAACAAACTTAATAAAATGTGTAATAACATCAGATTTCTCTTTTAGAAAATAAACCCATACCATTCTACTGAAATCATTAATGAGTAGCATAAAATACTTACTTCCACCAATGCTTGTAGTTCTGGTAGGACCACAGAGATCCATATGAATCAAATCAAGAGCTCTGGAGGTGTTGATCTCTTTGGAAGGGAATGCTACTTTTGTTTATTTTCCTTGTTGACAAGCTCTACAGAGATGATTATCACTGAATTTTAGATCAGGTAAGCCTTTCACAGCCTTTAGCTTCAGAATTTTGATTAGATTTCTTGAGTGAAGATGACCTAGTCTCTTATGCCACAGTACAGCTTCATCTAGAGTGGTCAGGTTACATTGAGTGGCTTCTTCAGAGACTGTGTACACATGTACACATTTCCAGAAGATCTACAAGCTGAAAATAGAACCTTTTCTGATTCAATGTCAACAACATTACATTTCTCTTTATCAAAACACACCTTCTTTCCACTGTCACACAACTGACTTACACTTAGAAGATTATGTTTGAGACCTTCAACAAGTAAAACCTCTTTGATCTCAGGCAATTCTTCAGATTTATTCACAGTCCCAATTCCAGTTATCTTAGCCTTTTGGTTATCTCCAAAGATAACATTTCCTCCATCAAACTTTTTTAGAGATATAAACTTGGAACCATCACCTATCATGTGCCTTGAGCAGCCACTGTCAATATACCATTTGTCATTGGTGTTGCAGGCTTTGAAAGTTGTATATACTAATATACTCACTGCATTCATTCTTTTAGGTATCCACATCATCTTGGACTTCACAAAAGATCATTTATCTTTGACTCTTTGAACTTGATCTAAGTCAGATTTCTTCATATACATCTTGGTGACTTTGAAATTTCTGATGGATGATGTGATAAAGTCATTTTCATTTAACTTCAGATTGCTGTGGGTAGTGTTAAGTATATCATAATTTGATCTCATGGGTTTTATAATTGGAAATCTTGCATAAACTTCACTAGAGGAGGCCTTGAAAAACACTGAATGGTTTTGTTTGAACTTGGTTGCAGTGTCACAAACATAACCAATACCAGTCTTTCCAATTTGCTTAGTGGATTGCTTCCAAATTTCAGCCATCTTTAAAGATTTTTCTTTAAGAATCAGAGAGAGTTCTTCTCTGTACCTTTTAGTATACCATTGTGTGGTATATTAAGACTTCAGCAGGCTTAAGAAGACAAGAGTACCTAAACACAAAGTTGACAGGTTAAACGTGAAGTGGTTTACAAGAAGTTGTTTGGATTTTGTGGTTCTGAATTGAGTGTCTTTATCTGAGATTTCTGTTGATTACACTTAACAGCAAGTCTTTCACATTCCTCAAGTATTTCTTCTATTTCTGAGTCACTGTCTTCTTCAACTTTTGATACAGCTTATGAGGTTTCAAGAGTAGCCATGAACAAGCACTCATCTTCTTGTGGTTCTTTAGTTTTGTCTTTTTTAGGTATAGAGTCTGTAATACCCCCTAATTTCGGAACACGGGTTGATCAAGTCCGCGCACAAAATCAGGGGATATCAAACCAATTAAAGTATTTAAACAAGCACGGATTACAAAATGGAATAAAGAATAAAATAAAACGCTGAAGAAATCCAATTAATAGTAAATCCATTAATAACTTCCAAATGGTTACAACTCGGGAATCCCGTAACTCAAGGACCCCTTAACCAAAAGTTACTATTTAGAATTTCAACCAACTAAGTACTAATATCAACTGAAACAAAACTAATATCCTACTTTTAAGTAAATAGAAGGAATGGATAAGTCCTCCAGCTGCGGATCCTCAACCTTGAGACTTGACCTTCTACAACCTGAAAAATAAATCGCGGGTTAAACCCTACGAGCAAGTTCTCTCTACCAAGCCTCTGAAAACCAATAAACAGATCATCTTTACCAAAACCATCCCTAATTAAGCTTTAACTTTAATATATGATGCTACAAATATATATAAATACTTATTTATATAGCGCAAGAATCCTACCAGTTAATAGGGCATTAAATTTAATTATTAGTTATACCTAGACCAAGCCCCCCCTTTTATAATTTTCTCATAAAGTAAACCCCACTCACCTTAACTCCATCCTAAACAGTAATTTAGTCATCTATACATATAGCAATTTAAATATGCACCGGCAAATCAACCATACCATTTATAAATATATTTATTTATATACTAGCAATTCAACCATGCTTCCTTCAATATATTTACTTTTACAATTAATTAGCAATGCAACCATGCTTCCCATATATGAAATTTATTCATAACCAATAAGGCAGTATATCAAAGCCTTTGGCAACTCATCCATGCCTACAATTCAACCATGTATTAACTTTAAACTTAACTCTAGGTATAATTATACATAGACTTCACATGCATATAATAAGCATGTCCTTAATTTAATAACCGTGTATCTATTACGATTTTAAATCAACCATACCATACACGAATCAAGTCATACCAAACAAGATTTATAATATTTAATAATCCTAAATAATATATATATACACATATATTTTATAATATATATATATGTGTGTAACATACATTCCATACCAATCGTTGACTATTTAAAATCATATCTACATATATATACACATATATACACCTCCTTTCATTGCAAAAATATTTAATTAATTATATTTATACCACTAAATGCTACTAGGTATCTTAGTAACACTCTGAGGCTCTCAAAATATCAAGAACACACCCTCTAATGATTAATTTTAACCCTAACAAGCTTAAGATAAATACTGGAACTTCACCGGAGTCTCAAGCAACTTTCCAGGACCTTACACGCATCCCCACGCGCCTTCACGCGCCGCCACATACCCCTAGACTACTCCCACGCGCCTCCACGCGCTTCCCCTTACCGGCAGGCGCGTCCACGCGCCTGCACGCGCCTGAGCCACTCTCGGCGCGTGTTGGCAGCTCCTAATTGGTTGTTGTTTGGTGCTCTTGGTAAGCCGCGATGCACTGGATCCTCTCCCTTAATCAACTACATCTAACCATTGATGCCGCATGTGTATCAACTTACAATGGACCGCATCACACCAGATCAATCCAACTAAATAAAATTAATCCTATGGCCTAGATCAACGAGTGCACCCTTTTCCTACGTACGCGACCACACTGGATAAAAATCCTATTGATGCGCAAATACTAGCCGCCTCCAGTGTGTTTGTTAAACAATTTAACATATATATATATACATATATATATATATATATATATAACAATTTCTAAATTAACATTAAAAATATAAATTAATTTCAGAAATTGTTCAGAAAATCTCAGAAAAATCCCAAAAGCTCTATTTATTATTTTGGGCATAAATGAACATATACAATTAAATTAAAATCCATTTAATTTAATTAATCGTGCTACACAAGGTTAACGCAAAATATAAAAATTTTAGAAAAATAAAATTTAATTAACCTAACCTTACCTACAAGATCTAAATTATTAGAACAATGCATACATATATTCACATGTTTAATTCTATAATTTTGTAAAGAATAAATATGCTCCTCCAATCTGAATAATAATTTAATTTAATAAAATAAAATTATAATTTCGATAATCAAGGTGATAAGTTTATGAGTTCTAAGAGGAGAAGTAGAGAATAACTCGCATTTTCTTTTCCAAATTTGGTCTCCTCTTACGTTCTTTGATCCGGCCTCCTCTTCGCTAGCCCTTCTTCTTCTCTCTCTAATTCTCTTATTTTTCTAACGTGGAAAAACTCCTAACCCTAAAGTCTTATGTGTCTATTTATACACATCCAAAAACCTAAATCCTTTTCCCATTAGGATTATTATCATATAAAATAAATAATATTTATCTTTTAAATAATATATATACATACATATATTTTAATGTAAATATATATATATATTACCTTCCATATATAACCATTAGTTAAATAAATTATATATACCTATATATATCAATATATAATTATATTGACATATATACCCCTCCACATGATTTAATAATGAATTAATATACACATGTAATTATATAGGTATAATTATGCAAAGATAATTATTAAATATCCTCACAACCACGGGCCTTTACCAATTAACCCAACAAGGCTTCCTTCGAGCCCAATACCACATCCGTTGGTCCAACTTCCTTTAATCCCAATCCAAATAACTTAAATACCTAAAATAACGAAATTAAATTTAATAGCTACCAATAATTAACAATAAAGTTACACCAACATAAAATCACGCAAATCAAATAAACACTTCACTAACTAGCATTCCACAAATCAAACACCGTATAAATTTAACAAATAAAATTACAAAATATATAATTTAATTAAAACAATACAATTTACCTACGCACTTAATTAAATAAAACAAATCACAACTATCAAGCACCTAATTAAATAAAACAAATCACTTAAAAATAATAATAATAATATAATATAAATTAATTTAATTAATAAATCCTTTTTACAATATCGGGGTATTACAGAGTCCCAATTAGAAATAAAAGCTTTCTTCCCAAAGTTTCTTTTAAAGTTTCCTCCTTCATTCTTTTTCTGATGTTGTCCTTTGGAAGATGGAAAATTCGAGACATAATGACCAGGCTTACCACAACCATAATAGGTTAGGTTTTGTGACTGATTTTTCTTCTTAAACCTGAACTTCTTGAATTTCTTTGACAAATAGGACACTTCATCTTCTTCTAGATCATCTTCTTCAGACTTAGGTCCAGATTCCTCTACAACTTCTTTGGCTTTAAGAACAGCTTCTCTTCTTTAAAAAGTTGGGACACCAATCCTCATTTCATAGGCAATGAGGGAGGCTTGAAGTTCATCAATCTTAATTTTAGATAAGTCTTTGTCCTCTAGGATTATAACTTTTTCATTAAATCTTGGTGTAAGTGATCTAAGTACCTTCTTACAAACATCAGAGTCCTTAATGTCTTCACCAAGAGATTTCATATTATTCACAATGTCATTGATCCTGAACAAGTAATCAGCCACAATTTCCCTTTCTTTCATCTTACAAGCTTCATACTGAACTTTGAAGAGTTGAATTTTGTTTTCTTTGATAATAGTGCTTCCTTCATGAGTAACTTGAAGAGAGTCCCACATCTCCTTAGCTATTTTGCAATTCTTAACTCTCGTAAATTCTTGTTGCTTCAAAGCACAGTAGTGGACATGTTTAGCTTTACCATCATTAGCAATAACAACTTTGTCAGCTTCAGTAGGATTTTCAGGACTAACAATAACAATACCATGCACAGCAGCATGCCAGAAATCATAAGAATGAGACATTAAAAATGCTTCAATTCTGATTTTCCATGAATCATAGTTCACACTACTGAACCTTGGAGCTTTGTTTGTAACTTGGCCTTCATCCATTGCAAAGAACAGCTGCAGGCTTATTAGAAACCTATACAACAAACTAAGCTCTGATACCAATTGGTGGACCAAGAGGGGGGGGGGTGAATTGGTCAAATCATTTTTCAAATAAAACTGGAAGTCAAATTAAAACAAGTAAAGAAAGCAATGCAACTAGTTTACAAAGAAACCCTCTTAATTAGGGAAAACCTTGGGTCTTGGCCTCAGCCAATGCAAGCATCCACTAGTTGTAAGTAAGCTATTACACACTCATTTGTCTCATTCTTTACACACACCCTTGTATCAGAAGTTGACACTAGCTTTCACACACTTCACTTCACACACTAGCTCAACAAAGTGTATACACACACTCCCCCTGTCCTAGGCAACCCTGCCTGGACCAAACAAGCTCTCTAAGCTCACCAAGTACATTATAGCAAATGTAAAACAACAAAAACAAGTTCTTTCTTCAATTGAAATAAGGCTGACAACTTAGAATGCCAAATTACCATTTCATAACATCAGTTTTCAGCATTTAGATCTTGAAGGGTAAAATGGAAATTTCTTCTCGAGATTCATTCAATAGTATCATACTCAGTCTTCATTCATTGTGTTACTCATGTTCATAACTTTTAATCACTGAAGAATAGCATGAGATAAACAAATAGAACCAAGACAACCTTTGTTTCAGCAAAAACACAGTTTATGACTAAGGGTTGAATACTGAATATTGCAGCAGACCACTTTTCTATCACAAAACCCTCTTCAACATACTAGATTCATCAAAATACACTTGCTAGAGGATTAAAATCTTATAATATATCAAGGCATAACCAATCAGTGCTTGAATCCAAGAATATCTCAGAAAGTTAAGTAAAACAGATGAGTTCACTGTCCATTTTTGAGTTCAGCATGATTTCAACAATAATTTAGTACTGGGCAAGTGTATAAAGGTGATTGATACTTGTGTCAACTCTCTTAAAAGACCTCAGCACCTTAGAACTAAAATCCAATACTCAGTTCAGCCCTTGCAGCAGTGAAAAACAACAGCAGCAACATCTTCTCTGCTATAACAATCATATAGCTCGAATCAGTTGGTTTTTTTTGACTTGAATCATCACCAAAAAATTCAGAAAAATAAGTTCAATCAAGGTTCTCGAGATAATTCAGGTTGCAGCTCAATGTCACTTCACATTCAAAAGGCTTAAACCCTAAAAATGACTATAACAACATATATATATGGAATCACGAAGTGCACAGAACTTCATACACCCACAGAATACACTTGTCACCTTAAGCCAATCATTGGTAAGGCATAATGCAAATATGTTCAAGAGCGAGAACCAGTAACAGAAGGCCACCTCAGTAATTTTGTCTCTATGCACACTGAAATAGACACATACACACAACACTGCTGTATACTCCATTCATCTCCAGACTTAACCTCCAAGAAATGCAATATTCTTGCATATTCACTTACTTGAGAACCATTGAAACGTGTCACACTAATGAGCATAGTAAGAAATGACCAGAATACCCTTGTAACAGATTTTTAACTTCTCAGCTAAGAAAAACCCTGAAACTATATCAATGACAATGCTAATTCAATCAGGTCAATCTAGTGCAATGCTGCATTTTAAACATACGTGTATATGTTGAATACAACTGAGAAATGACAATGGTACCCCTGGAACCTTTTGTGACAATTTTTATGAACTGAATCCATACACTATTCAGCAATTTCAGCAAGAACATGTAAACACACTGTGATGAAAACATTAAGGCAAATATGAAGGATAAGTGACTGAAGAGAAGATGACCACATTACCCTTAAGACATATTTCAAGCAACATTGATAATGAAAAACCTCTTTGAAGCCATTGCTACACATGTTTTTGACATTAAAGAGGCAAACCAATGCTTAAGGAACTTTAGGACCAACAGGATTAAGCCTACAATGGATGCTTGGATGAGTGACAAGTGTATGCTCTAAATTAAGTCTTGTAATTATTTTTGGGCCACCTTGGGATTATGGTTTTAATGAAGGGTTTTTGTGCAATTGACCATAGATGTATGTGTTGACCATGGTGTAGCATCACATAGTGAGTGGAGGATTTCTACTTCTTCCACTCACACATTTTCACATTATGTCCTTTTCTTCCACATTAGAACCCTACCCTCTATGGATGGAGCTTGAAGCCTTAGGCCTTGACCTTAATTTTTGAGGGCCTTCTATTGATTTCCAAGCTTGACCTTGGGAATACTTTTTGTTCCTCTCACTCACCTCTTTATAACCTTAGAAGGGTTTACCATTTTGTGCTTACTAGCCTTGGATTCAAGAAGAACAATCCTCTTGTGAGGTAGGGAGTGTTATAATTTATTTTCCAAGTGATTTTACTTGCTTCTGTATGAAATACAGGTTGTATGCATGTTTTATGTCAATTTATGAAATTGATAATGAATCATAGTTTTCATACAACTCACTTTAGACTTGATATATGGCATGGCCTTGACTTGATCTTTGTTATATAATTATTTGGAGCCATTTGAATGAGTATTCAAATCTAGACATTTAATGAATTTAATTTGATTTAAATTCTAGTTAATTGTATCTTGCTTGTATTCCATTTTTGATTTGATATATGGCATAACCATGACTTAATCCATGTTATATATTAATTTGGGATCATTTGAATAACTTTTGAAATTTAGAGATTTAATTAATTTAAGTTAATTAAATTCCACATGATTATATCTTGCTCACTTTGTGAAATTGATGTGATATTTGCAATCACCATGGAATGGGCATTCACATATGTTATTTTGAGCATTTTTGTAAAACTTTGATTTCTAGAGAAATTAATTAATTAGGCTAATTAATTTCTACTTAGTGTTTTAATGAATTGGACACCTATCTCATGGGGCTTTTGCCTTTTTATTCATATATCATGACTTATTGTAACTTAGCTTTATTAATGTGGTTAATGAACTTGCACCCTTGCATTGTAATGATTTAATTGTTCATGAGTTGTTAAACAAGTAATTAAATCATTAATCTTATACTCGTGGTATATTTACATCAATGGATTTTATATGCTATATATCCTAGTTCGTAGTCTATGTGGATGCATACTATGATTTATTGACATTTCACATTCCATTATAGTTGAGAATCTAGGGCATGACTTGTGTGTTTCAAAATCTTGGTTGTGCATGGAACGTGGCTTAATACAATACTTGTATCTTGATAGATTCTTGGTTGCACAACTTGTTGATTTTGGAACTTGGGATATCAATCAAGAATTGACATGGCTAGGACTTGGTTCTAGTACGGGAGATAGAGAGCTCCTCACATTATAGTGCGCACTAGGGGAAGGTACCCATGGGTTAGTAGCCCTAAAGTGATCCCAAGAGTACGATTTTAATCCGGGCGATATCCGAGTTTCCACATTTGTTGATTTCACTCTTTAAATTTCAAGTTGCTATTCCTTGAAAATTTAAAACTTGTCGTGTATGTAAAATGCTCCAATCTTGTTTACTTGTATAGATATTATGCCTTATTTTTGATTTCATGTATAACCTTTTCGTGTTAATTAGAATGTTCTAATCTTGTTTAATTACATAGATATTATACATTGTCCTTGATTTCATGTATTCCAGTATTCTTCTTGTCGTGTTGTATTGATTATTCCAAACCTTGTTCAATTACATTGATAGTGTGATTCATATCAATTCATAAACTTATCGCGTTCTTTAGATTATCTCAATCTTGTTTCATTGCATAGATTTTATGCTTCATCTTTGATTTCACTCCTTAAATTTCAAGTGTTGCATTCCTTGAAGATTTAAGAAACTTTTCATGTTATATGAAATGTTCTAACCTTGTTTAATTGCATAGATATTATACATTATCCTTGATTTCATGCGTTGTCCTTGTCACGTTAATTGAATTGTTTCAATCTTGTTAATTTTCTTGGTAATCTCGTTTCATGTTAGTTTATGCTATCGTGACTTAGGAATGATCCTATACATGTAACTTGACTTAGATTCTAGGTGGTATGGACCACATGTAATGTTTTATATCAACATACAAAATCTCTGAACCCTTAGATTTCAAGTGTTATCACTTGAAGATCTAAGAACCTTGTCGTGTTATATGGAGTATTTCCTACCTTGTTTAATTGCATAGACATTATGCTTCCTTCGTGTATTTAGACCTCATTCAGCATTCTTGAAAGTGTGCACTTGCTTCTTGTATCTAGATTCCATTTAGTATACTCGTGTCTTGTATACTTGCTGATGAGTACTGAAAAATGTGTATTTAAACTCCTTAAGCTTAGGCATTCTAGTACCCTTATCTATTTTACTTTACCATTTTAGATTGATTTCGTCTTATTCCCTTTTTCAGGCACTTATCCTGAAAATAAGCTAACTCAGCCAAATAAGAGCTTAGTTGAAGCAATTCTGGGATTAATCAAAGAAAGGAGCAAAGTGGAGAAAGAAGGAATCAAATGAAGCCAAAGGTGGCAAGCAGCAAAGTTCGATCGCTCCAAATTCAAGGTTGGATCGATCGAACAACGATCTATCTCAGCACTTCAAGATAGATCCAAGCCTTGACCTAAAAACATAAAGTTCCAAAAGTTTGATCGATCCAACACCATCCTTCGATCGATCGAACCCTTTTATCCTTATTCAAATGATTGATCCTATCCACAGCTATACCACCCACTAACCACTTTTGTCCTTTTCCCATAAATATCTCCCATAAATATCTCAGATTTGTCTTTTTCCAAAAAGCTCAGCCAGTTGGATCAATCCAGCCTAAGTTCGATCGATCGAACTTCCTCTAGTGCGAAAAAGTTAAAATTCCATCTCATTGAAAGTTGTCCTTTATCCAATCATTAGGGAAAATTGTGTGCATGACCCCAGCCCATTTTGGGTGTCATTTTGACCTACCTATATAAGTATAAGGATTGCTTTTACAAAAGAGGGAGCCAACATTATTTTCATATCATCTCTTG